GTTTTGGCTGCAAAACCAGAGTTTAAACTGCTTGAAACATCATTTACAGGTGTCAGTAGTGGTTCTGCAAAGGCCTTCCCCCTTTTGCACGGCTGCAGTTCTCTTAGCCTGTAAATCTGGTAGCTACAGAAAATACTTTTTTCCCATGAAAGCAAATTGACGGTGAGCAGTGGCTGGAGGAGGAAAGTCTCTGACTTCTCCCAGTCCCCCTCTGCCCTCCCACTGCTGCTGCAGCTCTTGCCACCACCAAGACCTTATCAATGAGCATAGGCAAGGACCCTGCTGTCTAATGACCCTGGCTGGAAGAAAACTCCAAAAGAGAAAGGAGAACTAGAGTCTTGTTCAGAACCCTGGGCTTCCATGGCAGCTCCAGCTGCCTCCCAACCAGTCCCTGTCTTGCTGCCTGTTCCTGTCAGCMCTGAGGACTTGTCATAGTCCCCCTGTGTCTGCAACTGTGCCTATCCCTCACATCCACAGCACTCACATGCCTTCTGCCTCCAGTGGCAACAGCAGACTTCAGGTACACTGGCTCCTGCCATCCTAAAACCTAGCTGCAGGTGCTGCAATACATGGTAGCTATTGGCCATCCCAGATGTAGAGGTAGATAATTTTCTTCCTGGCAGCATTGTARGCTGCTGCACAGGTGATGGAGGAAAAGCTGGACCTTGGCAGGGGTGGTTTCATACYCTGCAACCTTGATGGAGCATAAATRTTAATGTCAGCTCCTTTCTTCTAACCCTGGTCTTCTCCTGACCATATCTACACTTGGGAGACTGCTTGTCAATGACACCCTCATAGGCTCTGCTCTGACTTTTCCCAAGTGCTCAGAATCCAGCTGTTGCCCCTGGGCCCACTTCCATGRTACACATTCCTGATGCAGAGTCATCCTTTTGTTTACACACCTAAACAAAAACTATACTTCACTATTGTCACAACAGCCACAGTGACTTCAGAAACAAGGTTATTACCTTTGAGTTGAAGCCTGTAACTCAAAAACTCATTTGAAATTACTTTCCTAGAAATGAAAATGCAGGCACCTGTTTTTGAAAGAATGTCTTCATGTAATTGAGGAAGTTGACTCATGGGCTTTACTTTTGCCACCTAAACTGATTAACGAGTAGAAACCTGGTTAAGCTGGTGTCTTGGCTTGCTGACTAGCAGRGCTCTTTTTGATCCATGGCCTCTGGTATTTGGATTATTTGCTTTCCCTGCTCTTAATCCCTGTGGGGAAACCTTCCCTCACTATTTAAATATGAAATCCYTGCCATACTGGAATGTCACAGGGGACTGCTTACAAACAGAGATGTAAGGGCTCAGTACTTCAGTGCAAACCAATTTTGAGTTCCAACTCAGAATGCCTTTTGCTCACTTTTTTTCATGTGTTTTGCTGTGAATTCTGTATTTATTTGAGCACCATAGACCCAGTAAATACTGACACACATCAAAATCCTTTAGGCATGTGGACTTMAGCTATAGTTTCCCTTTTCTGGCAGAATTGTCAGAACAGATGGCAACGGAAGTCATAAGAAACCAAGTTTCTGCAATTCTAATGTTTAAATACAGTTTATCTTAACAGGCTCCAGATTGAAGTCAGCCCTTTTTAGCCTGTCAGATTTTTCTTCCAAAGATGTTGCAATGCCTAGCTAGAGGAGAAAGATTACTTATTATTTACTATTCCATTCTTCAAAATATTTTATTGGGGAAAAAAAGCAATTTTTCCCTAAACCTTCTTAGTAAAATTTCAGCTGCTATTTGCTGTATGTAATTCACCTGTGTCTTGGCTGACACAACGCACCAGGTAGCTCCAAACTCTCCTCATAMACTGTCCATTGTTATGATGGGGATWTGCTTTCCTCTTCTCTTTTTCTTACAGGCCATTTCCCTCCTAAGCAATGGCAGCACTTTTTAAAGACAATGGTATGATGATCTTGGTGTGGTAGGGAGCAACAAAGTTTTTAAAACACTTTGGCCAAATAATAATTTAGAAGCTTCTTTTGGGAAGATGCATTCCATTAAGAGAATACCAGTATTCCTCTGAGGACATGTTCTCATGGTTGCATTGTTATGGCACGGAGTCCAGCCCTGAAATAAAGCTCTCCCAAGCTTCCATACACTTTGTTTCAAAGACTCGCAGCGCCACTCCAGGGAGTTCAGGCATAGTCCTGGTGGAAGCATGGGGACATGTCCCCCTGGACAAACCTAGAATTCCTACTGTATAGATATGAACAGAAAAGCAGGCATCTAATAGGGAGTTATAAATTGAGAATTTYGTAAATTGTTTTATTCTTGCAGCTAATTATCAGCCTAAATTAACTSACCAATTCTGCTTGTTTCAAAAACAAGCAGATGTGGATGTGGCACTTGGGGTCATGGTTTAGTGGCAAACATGGCAGTATCAGGATGGACTCAATAATCTTCCAACCAAAATGACTCTGTGATTTTATGATTCTATGAACACTTTTCAACTTTTTACCGAAACAGTAGAGAAAGTGAAAAAAGGGAAGTTAAAGTCACCATTTCTTAGCAATTAACTAACTTCACAGATTTATGTATCATGCTGGTTAACAAAAGGTCTTTAACCCACAACGGGCACAACAATTCAGACAGATTTTTTAAAAATTAATTTCACAATAAAATGCAGAATAAAATAGACTTAGTTATCCYAAAAATGCTTGCCAGTCAATTGACATTCATTATTTGAGTTTCTGCTTTCTTCTTACTTTTGTTGCTAACTTTGTAGTATCAAATAGCATACACACTGCATATAAAGTACATAAGGCCCCAAGATCCTGTAGCAGATAATCCCAATGTCTACCATACAATTGCAGTGAACTGCCAGCTGGAGGTACTCTGGTACTGCTGTGAGGCAATTGCAGGGCTCACCCAAGGGGAAGACATGCATTGCTGAATACTCTATAATAAAACAGAAAATAATGAGATACACGTGCATGTAAACAGAAATATGATTATGTAAGAAACATAATTTGATGGTATCATGTGATCTGTTTTCCATTATATGAACAAATGTATACCTTCATCTGGATTTCGAGGCTGGTATTACAGAGTACCATGTCCTTCATAGAAACTATTGAGTAAATATCCATAATTTATCTGGGTTCTATGAAACTCAGAGAGCTGAAGCAGGTTTTTCTGTTGGTGAAGTAAAAATTTAAACTCCCATTGTTTCTCCTAGCAGATTTAATGAAATCTCATTCATCTGTACTTTTTCTGCAGCTGGGTATTTGTATGATACTTCATTCTTTTCATCAAGAAGAATTCCAAACCAGTGGCTGAGATTTGGATGTATATCTATAGCTGGACACCTATTTTAATATGTAAGTGTATACTTTTAGTGAAAGAGAGCTCTTACATTTCTGTCAGAGAACTTACAGTTGCAGACTGGACACCCTGAGKAATATCTAGTGTTTATATCTTATTCATGAAACAAAACACCTTGTAGATGAAGAATTAGTGGGAGAAAGCTTTGTCACAGACCAGTTAGCCTATAAAGGTTTCAGACTACTGAAAGCCAGGAAAATGCACTGGAGCAGAGAACAGGTTTGTTTCCTTTTTTAAAAAAAATATAAGACAGATCATGAAGGAGTAGAGAACAAGCTCGAAAATGCATTATTAAAACACAGTTAGATCCAATGAAGGTAACTATGATGAAAACTGCAAAATTTACAGTTGGTTAGCCATAAAYCACTAAATTTATAAGATAAGAAGCAGAAGAAAGGAAGCTGAGGTTCCAATACACATCTACTACTTAGATTCACAGGAAAAAAGGTAATGATGCACCCATGGTCTTTTCACAATCCCACTTGAAAACCAGGAAATCACTTTGAATTTAGGATCTGCGAGACTTCCTGGGGTGTTTCAGTTTCAAATTCAGAAAAAATATTTTCTCTAACATTTTTTCTAACCCTTTATTCAGTAGAGTATATGAAGTATGTGAAGCAGATAATCTTGAGTGTGWTCACAGGGCTCGTACAGGCTAACCRGGGTATCAGGCCCAGCCAGCATGGGTTTAGGAAAGACAGGTCCTCTTTGGCTGACCTGATCTTCTATGACCAGGTAACCCACTTTGTGGATTCAGGAAAGGCTGTACCTACTGTTTATCTTTAGCAAAGTCTTTGGCACAGTTTCCAACAGCATTCTCCTGGAATAACTGTCTGCTTATGATGTGAATGGATGCACTCTTCACTGGGTAAAAACTGTCTAGATGACTGAGCCCAGAGAGTGGTGGTGAATGGAGTTACATCCAGCTGGCCTGGTCACAAGTGGGGTTCCCCAGGGCTCAGTGCTGGGGCCAGTTCTTTATCAATGATCTGGATGAGGGCATGAATACACCCTCAGTCGCTTTGCAGCTGACAACAAGTTGGGTGGTTCATTAAAAAGACCAATATTTCTTCAGTGTAAAAATATAGTAGACTGATAATACAGAATTATTAATATTAATTGTTGCAACATAAACCAAACATTTGAAATGTAAATTTTGTACTTTAGATACTCATCTGCCTATTCATTTCTTTACATTCCAGTTATCATATTTTGTTTCAAACTGACAAGATCTAGAATATATAAAACAAAATACAAATACCTAAAAGAAAGGCAATATCTATCACTTATAGAAAATAGTATGCCTTCAGGTCAAAGTAAGAATTCATTGCATTAACAATCCTTTTATGCACTGTCCTGCATAATAATTACCCTTTTTCTCTCTATGCTAATAAGAAATAAAAGTTATTTATGAGTTATATGTACTTCAAATGGACTTCTTGGAACTTCCTGGACTTTGGTATCTTCAGATACCAAAATGAAAACTAAGCCAGAGGATGAGGCAGTCTGATATAAATTGTTAAAGCCTGTTTACAGTACTATAAAGTTCATGGTTGTTGGGGCTTTTTTTGTATAAACAGAATATATGACAAGCCAGATGAACAGACTGATATCAGTGTTTTCAATTACATTTTTACAATAAAATAAACCATAACGTTGGTTTGTAGCAATTAAAGCTGAACACATTTAAAGTCAATACTTACTAAGGGCTGCTTATGTGCAAAACAYGTGAAGCAAATGGGTTTCTGGTAATGGCTTCTTGAACATCTGAAAAAAGAATGAAAATATATAATGAATAATTTGTAAACCAAATACTTAAATGAAAATAAGATTCACAATCAAATCTTCAACCAAAACTTTCTGAAGATTGTGAAAATGTAATTTAATAGCACTGGTTTTATTTCCTCTACCAACAGCTGATAAAGTATAGGCCATACCTCTACTTTAAAAATTTGCAACTAAATATTATATGAACAAAACATTTAGTAAATAAAGACATTTAAAGAAAAGAATGCCAGCTTCCACTAAGTCGGCAACAAATATTCCAGATGTAGATTGGATAGTGGCTGAATGCTATTCATTAAAAAGACCAATGTGAAGCTACACAGTTTTTATCACTACATTTGGTAACATGTGAAAACAAAGCAGGTGTTTTTCCAGGGTGCAAAGGGGTGCAAAGAGATCACAGTTTAGAAAAGCAATGTACTTGTATTATGACATGTAAATACCTACAACACTTACTTACAGGTACACACATGTAAGTCTACCTGCAAAATTTCCGAGCTTCCTATTACCAATTTTAATCCCCAAATAATTTGACAAGCTAATTAAATTTCTGAGATACATACATATGTGTATGTATTACACTAAATTTCACAGTTACTTCATTTGCAACGTTAACTCCTATGATTATTTCATTGTTTCTTTCGTATTCCTACATACTTTTCTTGCATAGTTTTCCTTTTCACACTTTGAAATCTTCAGTGCCCTTCTCCCAGTTCTTTTGCTGCATTTACCTTTCCCTCTGTTTCTTTGTCAYTTCTCTGTTACTTATACAGAAATTTAGTTTCTATATGCTCATATTTCTCTTTCCATATCTACTTTCTTAACCTGAGCACATCATACCAAAACACCTCTCTGGTGAAAAAATGGAATTTTTCATTTTCATTTGCCTGGAACAATAACCACAGGTTAAGATAAATTGAAGTTCTGAACCACTCTTTGACAGAGCAGGAATTGTAAACGACAGCTGCAGAAAGTTTCTAAACAATTGCAATGATGTTTTATCCTGCTGTTGCAGTTTATAGGAAATGGGAAATAGGAAGCCTTTTTCCTCAAAGTCACACAATTCACCATGTAATGTAGAAATGTACGGACAGTGTGTAGAAGTTTAATAAGCCCTGGTTTAGTTTAAATCCAGTCAATAAAGGGGTAAACTTGTGTAACCTGACCATGAAATGGTGCAGTCTGGGAGGAATGGTCATGGAATAGTAAAATGAAATCAATGAACTTCAAGAAAGAAAACTCTAATAAACTCAAATCATTGGCATGTAAAATTCTGTATGAAAAAAAGTGCAAGGAAAATGTAAAAATCAGGAGAGCTGGCAATTCCATGTACAGTACAAATAGCAAGTAGTTATTCCAATCAGATAAAAAACTAAGTGGACCAGTRAAAAGACTAAGTCATAAAGTCCCCACTGATTTCAAGTATGGAGTATTTCAAGGATGGAGCACACAAAACACTCCAAACTATGTCAAACTAATGTGAATTTTTAATGGAAGACTGTATGATCACATAGGTGAAAATAAGTCCTAAAGTAGTGAGACATTAAAGAGCTAAGTTTGTTCTACAAGTGTGTTCTACAAGCTWTCATAGGATGGCTAATGAAAGTGATTGCTAATTAATCACTGGGCTAAAAATGTCGAGTAAAGACATTCCCCCCACATTCTTCAGCAAAATGGAAACTGTGATTGGAAGATTCATATAAAAAGCACYAGTACAGAACACGTAAGAAACCCACCTGGCATGGTGAGAGAACAAGTTAGAGTACACTTAGGTAGGTTTGACATTTTTGAAATAGTTGCACAGGAGATATTCACTTAAACATTCAGATTTATCTGCAGCAATGTCAAGACTCATTATTTGTAATGAGTAACCTTTCGGAATTCATGGAGAAGAGAACATTCTAAAATACTAGAAGTAAGAAAATGAAAAGCCATTCATTATAAAGGGCTACATTTGCAAAACTGTATGGCATATAGAGGGCATTAATTTGCAAAAACAATTGCAAAATAATTAGGATGGATAAGCTTTTGGACAGATTACCAAGTGAGGCTCCTGATGCACTTTGAAAGAACAATTTTGACAAATATCTCTTACAAACAACATCTGTAGTAGGGCTGAGCCCATTTCTGAAGGTGTCCTCCCATCACATTTAGAGTTATTTTTTTACCAAGACAAGTCACCATTATTTTAAAATAATTTCATTGACCTAAAAAAGAGTTTCATAATTTTGATATACTGTTTACTGCATTTAGTAATCAACAACAAAAAAMCAACAATAACAACAACAACAACAATAATAATAATAGTAATAGTAATAATGAYAGAAAATATTTATATCATAGGATTCCGGTTTTCAATCCAAAAGATTCCATGGCAAAAAAAAATATAGTTATTTAATTTCATGATGTAGCATCCAATTTAGTATCCAGCTTACTTTGTAGCTTTTGATTCAGACAATCCAGAGACTGGAAAATCTTCTGTTCTTCTGCTGAGAGAGCAGTCCTGCCTGGACACGGAGCCCTGWTAAGCAGTGAGGGCTGGCTGGCTGGCTCCACATGGTCCATGGCTGCCAGGATTTCACCCTCTGCCATTGGTGTACTTGCTAGTTTTTCTGCCACTAGAAACTGAGCAGTGCTTTCTGAAACTGAAGGGATTACAGGGGGAACTTCAAATGAGAAAGGGCTCATTGCATTTTAAAGTAAGTGCTCATTTTCATGACTGTAGGTCTGTGAAACACACAAAATTGACATTATAAGAAGAAAAAGGTGGCATAATCACGAAACATGATATGTTAGAAAATGAAATAAATAAGAACGCTAATGCATCTTACATTTGGCACCAGAGCAAGTCCTAATGAGTTTGGAAATATGTCATGATAGCAAGCAWTATCTGTCCACATCATACAATTATATGTGACACATACAGCTACAGCACAGCTAAAATCAAACAGGAATAGAATGAAAATTGAATATATGTTGTAATACACTTATAAAACCATTGATATCATGCTATATGATGCTATATCTTACATCTACAGGAAAAAAAATAGCTCTAGAGAACTRCCCTTTCTTAGAATCACAGTTGCTGAAAGACACAAGTTGTGTAACACAGTGGATATGTTCTCTCATTCTACTTTATGTATAACAAAGAACTGAAGTGAGTTGTATTACTATACCTTCCTCAGATTCCTCAGATTTATAGATGTTTTTCATCTTTTGTACTGGATCAAATGCAGATTGAACAGGACTCAGCTGGACAGTACATAACAAATTCTATAAAAAATATTGCAAGAATATTTTAAATATGATTTAAGGTAGCTATTCTACCTTCTGAACATGTTCTGTTTATTATTTCGTATTGCCAAATGTTTTCAAGTGCAAAAATATTACTGTGTACTAATATAGTAATGAATTCTAGTTGGTTTTATTCTTTTCATTAGCAGTGACAGAAAGCTGACTAAGCCCATTGACTCAAAATCATGTGACCATGAACAAATCTTTGAAAWTCTCAAAAAATTTTCCATTTTGAAGATAATAAGCTTTCTATTTTTTATAGTATTTTATATTAACCTGTGCATGATGAGCAGGCTTCCATCTTTTAGAGACAACACTTTGTCTTCTGCATTCTGAAAAGGCTCGGTGTTTATTTTCATAGTTGTCAAAACCCAGATTTTGTCTTGTAACAGGAACAACACCTTAAATGACACATGCACAAAAAAGTAAACCAAAATGTGTAAACAACATGGTAAATATAGTAGTACAAAACTAGTAATGGTGAGTAAATATCTCTGCCCACAGTTAGATGTTTACATTTGATCTCCTTAAATTGTATTATATGTGGGCATAAGCAGGTTAAGTGAAGCATKTTGAGTCCCAGATAATAAAGGTGCTCTCTACAAAGATATAAGGTGATCTTACCAARTAAAAGGGATAATGAAAGGTGAGCTGTGATATAAAAAATATCAAATAAGTAATGTTTTTAGGTTTTAATGTTTCTTGGTTTTAGAAAATAAATTGCATTTAGAGAACAATCTCAAAGTCTAACTGTCCAAAGCAGTAAATGACTGTTGCTGTATCTTACATGTTAATGGAGTCAACTTTCATTAAGATTACATAGCAGTGTGGAGAAAACATGTAGTAGTTCACAAAGTTTATTTGATTCACAGAATCACAGAACAGTAGAGTTGAGAAGGGACCTTCTGAGGTCATCTGGTCCAGTGCCCTCACTCAAGCAGGAGGACCATATAGAGATCATTGCCCAGGACCATGGCCAGATGGCTTTTAAGT